TCATTTATGGGATGTTTCATATATGCGAGATGTTCATCGAGGGAACTGGGGATGGTTTTACTGTTACCGATATCCGTTCAGACTTACTTATGTTCCCTTATCCTCTGAGAAGCATAGAAAACATGAACAAACAAATTAATAGGCAATCATAGACTAGGTAGAAGTAGAAATTTTTTCTTAAGTTCATTGAAATAATCGGCTGGTTGGTGAACTCAAGGCGTAAACATGCGGCCGGAAATGTGCACGTGATCGCTCATTCCAAACTTTGGGTGATAAGTTCACTTTCGTAATCCCTTTTGAAAAGGGGTCCCGTATGTATGTCTTTCTTATTCACTGTTATCATTGAAGGTCCCTCACACACGTTTTTTCTGAATTATCCATTTTCGGTAACCATGAGATATGTTCGTTTTATGTTTTCCAGTTCTTGAGTTAAGCTTTATGCCATGCAAATGTTTCTGTAGTAATTGTAATAATTGTAGGACGCACTGATCATGAAATAATAATTACAAAATACGAATCGTGGATTGGAAATCACGGACTAACAATCATGAATGCCACGTAAGCACTGGATTACGCTGGTACTTGCACGACAGTATCCCACGAAACCGAGACGCGAGGAGAAGGCCAAAGGAATAGCAGTTCGCTTATTGAAAGAAATTAGGGGATTAAATAATATGTAAACAACAATGTCATTGGTTATCCAAGCCTGTGCCAACCGCGTGCTAGTATTTCTGCTGTTGTTCAGCTTCTGTCTGGACCGCACAGATTCTGTTTGGTTGGTTGGTTTGTAGTCTGGACGCTGTGACACTTACGCGCTTTGCTGACGTTACCCAGAAAGTTTGATTGATCTCAATTGACCGAAAACTGTAACGTGTCGCTCCGTCGTATGCGTCATCTCGTAGGCTAGGATCACCACAGCTTCTTACATGGTCTGTAACGCGACCGACAGGAATTTTTACGTTGTAGCAGTAGGAAACTCGCAAAATAGTTAACCGTTGCTAGCCCAGCTTGTAGAAGTGGTTGAAATATGATACTGCTCCAAAAATACATCACTCCTTATTACAAATACTTTTTTCTGTTTTTGAACATGTTATTCATAAAAAAACTTTTCGTTTTTGATGTCAGTCACATTAATTAAGTTCACCTATTTACCTGTTTTATATACATATTCGCTTGCAACAAAATAACCTACAACACCGGAAACATAAACTTCCCCAATTATTAGTACCACCATTCACCGTGACGAACCAAAAATGTTTTTGTTCATTTTCGATTGGTAACTGTATTATATATAGACTTCTGAAACAATTTTCCGGTTATTCGTCTTTAGGTCTCGTTCATTTTTCGGGATAAATACGTTATCGTTTATGAGATCATGATCATCATGATCATCAGCCTTTTTGTCCCCCATTTTGTCTTCGGAAGAAATCATGGTACCATGGAAACCGATAAAATTACCGCAGAAAACTACAATTAGGCTGAAACAATTAAAATGTTCAGGGAAAGCGTTTTTTTATTTTTCGGGCCCAGAAGATAATGGTGTGTGTATTTTTTGCAGTTCGTAATGAACACGTTTGTTTCTTACCAAGCATGAAACAATGCTTGTGTCGAACAATTGTCTCTCTGTGTCTATCCTCGTGTTCTTTCATTTCTTTTTTTATTTATTGAATGTACAAACGTACAGTCAACTTTTGGAAAGGAGATTGCTGTCATACAAAGGCTGACTAGGAAAATACAGAAATGAAGAGGATGGACATCGATAGAGTGGTTCGAACCAGGGACATCCTGGTCACTAGTTTGATGTTCTTCAGCATGCTAAAGTTAGGGTTGTTCAAATTGTTGTTTGGCAGATTTGAAGTTTGTATTTCGATTGTAAATATTCAGAAGCCTCGGTGGGATTCGAACCCACGCGTGGACGCCGCCTACGTTTTGTATGCGCACGCTCTACCAGCTGAGCTACGAGGCCACACCGATAGCATTGATGCTTTTCACATTCGAATTTACCCAAGGTTGTTTGTTTGAATAGTTAAACAAATACTTATCGTCCCTCGGTTCATCCCTTTAAAAGGAAGAATCAAATGAAACAAATCAAAGTAGATCACCCATTACCAAACGTGCAACGTAGGGGATCGTCATTTACGTAAAGTTCTTACACCGGTTTTGGTACTTCGGTGTACTACATCAGGGTTTTGCAAAGCCGCACAAGCATCAAATCGATAAGTGTATTTTTTCTCAAGCTGCAAGTTTGTGTAAATCTTCCCAGACACGGTTTTCCATTTCCAAAATGGTGTTTCATCATGATTAGCATGCTCAGCTGTCATTTTGCAGATAACAAACGGAATGACCAGTCCACGGGATTCATTAAGTCAAACGGCATTATCGGTGATTGACAGGAGTCGAGTCAGTAACACGAAGCGGTACCTCATTAGCAAATGTGCCGTCCATATCCGTTGGGATCATCATGTTAATTAGAACTGGTAGAAGCCGAATTCCTTACGGGTATTGTAGAACATGGATCACGTGAATCGGTATCATTTGTTCACAACGCAAAAAAAATGATCGGAAAGATGAACTTCTCCTGAGAAGCCCCAATTATTCACTCAATAATTCGGATAACACAATTTCTGAAATCAATGTCCATTATATGAAAAAATGATAATGTTGTTTGAATCAATGTTTAAATAAACTAAAAAATATATTCCTTTGATTTAATCAAGAAGCAAAATGTTGACTGCAGTCAAATGTAAAAATATATTTGTTCAGTCGATGTGCTTCATGGTCGAACGAACGCATTGATGCAAACATGAGAGAGATGTCACGTAGTCACTAACGTTAGTTAGTTTGTCTACCATGGAAGTTGGAGTGATTGGACCGCTTCAGCAGATAAAAGTAAATGACCTCGGTTCATGACAACGTCGAAGACCTAGCGCTTTCCAAGTTTTTAGGATGGATTATGGGGATCATCTTAAGGTAAGAAGCGACAATTACCCAGCAATAACGGAGTGAAACTCGAAAACTTGAGACGGGTCTAGTGTCAGCTCTATTAACGATATTACCGGGTATTGCTTACTGCTTTTTTGTCTAGCATTGCCACTGCACGCAATACATTGCCACTGATCTATGCGTTGATCATGGATAAAATTAAATATCACAGTCAATTCTGTGTTGGATAAAGTCACTTAGTGCACACTCATATACCAACGAAGCGGCACTGTTTCGTAGGTGAGTAGAAGCAATGGATGTGCAATGTTCATCGTACAACCAAGTTAGAACTTCTGTAGGCTGATATCCAGTCCCAATTTCCCAAAATTTATTCCATTGTCAACACTTAAAGTTTGCCAGTTGCTTCAAACCGGAAATCTGCTCAAACTGGTCTTGCCAAGAAACTTAAAAGGGAAGAAAACGATTAACGCTTTTTAAAAGCCAACTTCCTAGGATGAAAAAGCGTAGATAGAAAACAAGCTTTTATAACATGTTTAAATATCCGCTATCAATTCGTTGTTTTTTGCGGTTTGTGGTGTCGAAATGGGACAAGGGTGAGCAGAAGGAAACAGTTGATATGAAAAAAACAGTTTTAGAACGTGTTTTTCGGGTCATATATTCATGCAATAGGTCATGCTCATCTTGTATTGGGCCAATGCAGATGGAGTGGTTGAACGGTGTTCATCAGGCAGTACAGCATTGGGTTTGCTAATGGAATGTCTATCGCTTCACCCTTGTCGCAATGGCTTTCACGAACCATTTTCGAAGGGTTCTGTTTTGCTCTATAAACGATACGAACTTGTCTCCCTCCTTCACTCTGGTCTTCCGTGTTCCCCAGTTGGGCTACACGCCCGTTTAAAGTGCCGCTTATATGGGGCTTCGATGAGTCCAACTTCCCAGTCAATCGAAATACGTTTTTGTTCGAACGGGAGTAATCCAACAAGTAGGATGAAGCAAGAGCAGACAATTGATCTTTTAGTTCAAATAAAATCACCGTTTGGCTGAAAAATAGCGGGCATTTACACATTTGTGGATCTATTGTTTGCAGTGTAGCCACATTCCTCACAAGGAATAGATACCAACAAATTTTACCTTTTTTAAAACACAGGATGACTCCTACGGTATAATGTTATCCCTGTTTTCCGAATTACAGACGAGCCCTTCGATTGATCCAGTGGTTAGCAGGTGAAATCCATCCCCATGGGTCGAATTAAAGTGGCTTTTTGACTTGACTTGACTAGATTGCTAATAAAAGATGAATGGAAAATCAAATTGGGAAAAAATCCTCAATTGGTAAACAAAGTTCAAATTTTCAACATACAAGGTCATGCTTTTCGCTATCCAAAAAAATCATAAACAACCGTTTACATTCGTTACACCAAAATCTTATCAAATGTGTGTCCCTTTCTTCCACTCGGTCCCTCTAAAACTGTACATTTGATCGTACGACCTCCAAGCGGTATTCTGTGGTACCTCATCTTGCCCGATTTCCTTTTAACCCAGAACGCATCGCTTCGGAACTGAAATCACTCAAATCGTAAATTGTTTTGTTTTCTCTTTGCTCACCAGAATTCTGGCGTAATTTTCCTTGACCATTGTTGGTTGACTATGTGACTGCTGAATATTCACCTCTCGAGATGCATAAAGCAAATATTTGACTTGACTTGACTTGACTAAGATACCGAATTGTAAAATACGCTGGTGGAAAACATAAAAGTATTGTTTGGAGGCTCAAAACGTATCGTAACGTTCTCTTGGATTACAGTGGGAAGCGTGCGGAATTCGTTTATCAGACTTATAATCATTTCTAAACAACTAGTCCGGATGATACGTTTTCTTTTTTTCCCTCTGGTTTAATGGCCACAGTCGAATGCATGTAGTTTGATTTTTTTTATTTTTCAGGAATATTTCCGTTTCGCATTGCTATTAACTTAGTTTTCCTACCTTGAACAAATCTATGCAGGTCAGATCAGAATTTGAGCCAACTGTCACCTCAAGAATTAACAAGGCATCGGTCGATGAAAGAGTTATCAGAAAAAGTGGATGAAGCTTTGCGTAACGGGGTTGAACGTGGCGAGCGCAGTGTGAATCAATTGAGTCGCAGTATTGCTATGCCACCGTTGGCAACACATATCAATCGCTCTGTGCGGCAGTCACAATCCCCACCACCGGCAGCAGCGCCACCGTCACCACCACCGTTACCGTTACCACCCCAGCCGATACAAGAACATCTACAACGAAAAATACAGGACCAAGAAAACCAAGTATCACAGAGTTCACAAACTTCCCCAGACGTGATTAAACCATCGTCTTCAAACAGTTCATCACGAACCGTCCGTCCAAACCCGGAAACCTCTGTAGAGACGCCTCGATCAAGCGAATCGCAGTCCGAGGTCAACTTCTTCCCACTCGCTCAACAGCTTCTATACTACACAGTTGTGGTATTTTGTGTATACAAATTGACCGGATGGTTGCACATCCGACCCACATTTGGTGAACCGACGGAGGAGCATAGTTTTCTCTATCGTTTTGTCATGGTCCTTTTTCACTGGATTTTCGGTTTAGAGTAAAGGAACGTGAATACACACGGGCAAACAGTTTCGGCTTTCGTCTTGTCTGGACCAGACAATTTATCACAGATGG